GACAGATTACAGATTGGCTTGATAAAAAATGTCTTCGCTTAAACATTGGCGAAACAAAAGCGATGCTCTTTTTCAAATCAACATAGCCCTCTACTGTGGACATTCTCATTAAGGATTTAAAGATTGTATTAGTACATTTAATATCATGGCATGACAAAAGGATCAAAATCTTAATTTTTAAAAACGTGATTAAAAAAAAATACAAACCTGCAAATTTTGCCACATTAGAAACTGAGTTTTTCATGGATGCTGCAAATATTATGATTATTTCTTTTTGTATGACATTTTATGTGCAAGCTCATTAAAACATTATTTAACCAAATCTCGGCTATACATCTGGGTCCTTTCTCTTCATAAATTTGCTGAAGAAAGAGTGTGTTTACAGTGTAGCATGGGTCTTAATGGCGTCACAGAAGACCAAGTAGATTTCCACTCCAGGCTGATGGCAAGCTGCCTGTCACCTACCTCTGTGCCATTTTTAGCTGCGGGCTGCTCTGGCTGGCCCCGTTGCCACCTTGCCACTCAGTGCCACGTGTGGGCAGGAGCTGGCTGGGGGCCCTCTCCCATCTCTTGCCACTGCTGCTGCTGCACCATGGTGGGGTTCCCATGGGACTGGTTTGTGGGACGGGATGGGGTGGGGTTGGGCGAGGCATAGGGGGAGGGGGAGGCTGCCGACTAAAGCACACTAGCGGTCTTAAGGAGAGCTGCTGAGGGGAAGTCCTGTGCGTTTGAAGTAGGGACCTCAGAGAGCCTGTTTACTCAGGAGAGGGAGGGAGGGAGCTGGCCTGCCGCACAAGAATGCCTGTGTCATGACAGGAGAGGCAGAGAGGAGGAATGCGCTCCACAATCCTAACACTGTCGGAGCTGGGCCAGGGCAGAGGTGGCAGCCATTTCTTCCTATTTATTTTAGCTCCCGCTCCACTCAATCACTGGCCCTGTCTGTGGCTCTAAGCATCCCTGGAAAACTGAAAAAAATGGCCTGCGCTTTTATTTATGGCTCATGATTTCCAAATATCACATCAAGCACAGTATCTCCACCCTATGTGGATGAAAAAACTGTGATTTCTTTTCTACTTTAATAATTTATTTATTCAGGGAAGCTCACAGATCATCATTTTCAATGCTGCCTCTGCCTTACCTTTTTGCAGACAAGCATTTACTCCTCAGAAAAATCATACTCAGTCTTGCCCTCTAAATGCGTTCTCTGTGGTTTGCAAGTATGTTTAGACTTCATATTAATTTCTTTTTAAATGGTGAGAATGCCAAAAAACTACACTGAAATGCCTGAACATTTCTATCTTCATGTTTATCATCTTTCAGGCCAACAGGCCATTTCCAAGAACAATGGTTTTATATAGTGAATAGATTCTGATTAGTATAAATGCTGTATGATTATCTCTCTTTACCAGAGATGGTTATTCTGGAAAAATCCATTAGATTTAGCTCAACTCACAGACACTACCAAAAAAGTTTCAGTTCCTCCCCATGCCAGACTTTCTGAAACAGCAGCATGAAAACTTACCAAAAGCGTATTTAATACACAGGCTCCCTGTGAGTCCATGTGAGTTTTGTTTACCAACTCCTGGTTTGCAAATAGGCTGCTTGAACCTATACGAACCCAATTTTTACTTCAAGGCAAGCAGTGTGTCTCCAGCAGAATACAGGCAGAAGGTCATGGGCATTACCGCATGGAAGATTACGTCTCTCAATTTCAGATTACATTCTGTTTTAGGATCATGAATGGAAATATGATAAAGTGAAACCATAGACTGCATAAAGGAAGTGGATGTGGCACCAGTGACGTCACCCATTACTTTGTGAACCCCAGTTTGAAGCCTCTACAGTAATTCAGCATTTTGCTTGTTGCATTGCTATTTTGGCATATAAGGACCATATTTTGCCCCGATCTATCGTAAGGCTGCCAGGGTAGTGACTTCAATCACAGGTAGCAACCCACAGGAGCAAACCCTGTTTAAGAATTGAATAAAACCAAAATCTTAAATCTTCTTCTTTCATCCAATCACTCTTTCTAGTCGTCAACCATGCTGAACACTAGGAAAAAATCAGGTTGAATTCACTTTCACATATAGACCTCATTTTCGAAACAAGAGGCTTGATCTGATCCATATAAAAGTCAATGCTACGGACCTCATGGGCCGATCAGAGACAGGGAGTCAAGGGGTCTACATAATACATAATTGAAAAATCAAACACTGTTCTGCTAGTGTCAACCATTGATCCTGCTGTGAAATAGGCACATTAACCATTTAGTCAAACACTTAAGTTTTCAGTTATGACACATAATGTCTGCTTAACAGCTTAATAACTACAGTATTCAATAAATACAGAACTAATGATGTGTTTACTAAGTGCACTTCAGGGCTACAAGCCTTTGATGAAAGTAACAGATGTGTTGCCTTTCCTCTACCATTTACCATGAACCCCGTTATTTAAGAATGTTTGCAGTTTTACCGGATGGCTCTCTGTGAGGTTTTATACATGCTTGTTCATCAGATCATGGTACGTATTCGTTTTTTTTTTTTTACACATTTGTAAAATGATTGCAATGATTTTAATGATGTTCAGTGAAAACTAACAAAAAAATTGACCCCATATATATTTTATTCAATAATTAAATTGCAGTTTCTAATAATGAAAAGTTGCCAATTACCAATGCTATGTGATACGAAACGACATGAGACTAGACGAGACTAGATGAGACTAAACGAGACTATATGAGACGAGACGAGACTAGACAATGTAATTTAATAAGGTACAATGGCATATGGCGTTACTCTTCGTTCGGACACATTTATGTTTTCCCTGTGGAGAATTTCTGTTCTTGTACTCAAATACTGCCTACTAGAGTTTTAAAACTCTAAATGATGATAAAAAGACACTTGCTGTCTGAGTGGTGTTAAGATGCTAGAAATGTTCTTTAAAAAACAATCTCCTCCTGAATAAACGGAGCAATCTGTTTTAAAAACTCTACAGTGTGCCCAAAGTTCACTTCATTTCAATTTTGGAATGTGTCAAACAAAACAGAAAATGAGGCAAATGCAAAACTTGCAACAAAAGTGCAATTTTCCACCATGGTTCAAACCAAACAAAACAATCTGTCAGCATAATCACAGCTTTTCTGTTCACAGGGAAACAAAACAGAGCAGCTCAAAGACACCCTGATAATTCATTCCCTTCCCTGCCAAAAGTATCCCCCTCTGGGTTCTAACCTTTTTTAAAAACTGAATGTGCTGCACTTCCCTCTGTAAAGGGTTAAGTGTCAAGCAAGTGATGTCTACTGCCACTCGATCAGCGGGCACTGTTTACTCCTGTCAGGATCACTGAGGGGACTAGATGAAGGATTTTGTATCAGCAGCGCTCCCTGGGAGGCTTGACAGAGTTGGCCCCAGCCCTCAGTGTACAGCTAAGCAGTATTAGGGGGATGGTTTACCCTGGTGGGCCACTCCATCGAGAAAAAAAAGGGAAAGCATTAGCAATTTCATGGTATGATTCAGCTAAGTTCAGAGGGGAGCAAATACTGTCAAGTCAGATAATTCACTACACCCCTCATATTGAGAGGGGACAGAAACTGTCTTTCAACTCCAATCTGATTTGCCTGTTATGTAACCACAGTATACAGAGAGTCTGGATAGTTAAAATGCCCTGAAGGAACTGTATTGTTTTGTCTCATGGTGCTGTTACTTCATAAAGTTATGAGTCATGGTTTAAATGACCTGATTACAATTCTACATTGTGAGTTTTTTTTGACTACATCATCACAGACTTATTATCCTTTCACAATCAAAAGATTTCAAGCTTCAATGTCTCATCGAGCAGCATCATTAGCCCATGAGTCTTAAAGGTCTTTAGAGGGTTCACCTGAGTGAGCATAGCGCAGGGGGCTTCATTAACCGCCACTGTGAATGCACAATAAGAGTAATGTCAGAGACATAGGCACGAGAACATTAATTGAGAGACAACCATGGTCATTTGCTTCAGGGAATGGAGGTAATTGACTGTATAATTGGTTTCTCCCTATTCAGGCTGCCTGGAAATAATAAGAAAAAAAAACATCAAATAAAATTCATAGCTGCAGATGTGAGATTGACATTTTTGATAAGGATCATGGCTAATCATGTATAATGAGCAGTCATTCCAGTTGAGTCAATGATTACAGTTTTGATAGAATAAAATGACAAAATCAAACATTCATTATGTTTGAGGAGCATTCTCCATACATACAAAGATCTAATAAACTAAACGATCTAGTAAAGAAGATGTCTGTCAATCTCAGAATCTATCAGCTATCATCTGGTACATATGTAGCCTCTGGGGTTTATTTATTATATTTATCAGGGAACAGTGTGCATTGACATTGATCATTTATACCAAAAGAAAAAGAAGATGCGGCGGAATTAGCTAGTCTCTAATTTCCAATTGTAGTCCCACGTAAAAATGGCACAAATCAAAAGTTAAACCCCACTGAACAAATGATAGTTACAAAAAACCTCACCTGACAACACAAAGTACATAAACTAGGGGTTTGAAGTTTAGCCAGCCGTTAAACAGATAAGCTCAAAAAGATATCTGGGTCTTTTGAAGATAATAATCATAATATGAAAGAGAGAAACTAAAGGAATTCCCTCGATGAACCAGAGGCATCAAAAGTGAAACAGACTAGTAAACAACCAGGAGGTGCGATACTCTCTGTCACACACACTGTGACATCTAATATCTAAAAACATTTGTGTTTTTAAATTTGCAGTCCTGCAGCCGCTTGAAACATTCAAAAATATTGAAAAATATTGTCGTATCAGCTGCCGTACTATCTGCTTGTAGATGTGTAATTTTATGGACTAGGTGATCAAATTGTAAATTTTCTCTCCATTGATTTCAAAAGATTCATCCACTTGATGATTGAATGAATTTGGCTGCTATTTGTTTTTGCACGTCCTTGATCTTAACACCTCTATACCTCCTCTGTCTTGATCCCTGCACAGAACCAGAGCTGGATGTTCCTGGGACTCTGGAGTCGGTAACCCGACAGGTCAACGAGACTGTCCACCGCCGCCGTCACCGCAGAGACGCTGGAGAGGACGACTACAACATTGAGATCCTGCTGGGAGTTGACGACTCCGTTGTTAGATTTCACGGAAAGGAGCACGTGCAGAATTACCTCCTCACCCTCATGAATATCGTAAGTGACTGCCAGCTACGTCTTTTTGCTTGATTGAATACTCTGGTTGCTTTGTACTGTAATCCGCATTGAGTCCTGCATTGCTTTTTTTGTGCAGGATTAAATGTAAACGCAATGAGGCTTGGATTAAACACAGCTGATAGATTTGATAACGTAGCATAAGAAGTGGTCTGAGGAATTTGGCTCTCTGTATCTGGATTCTCATGGTACTTGTTTGGCATCTGTTCTACTATCTTCAATGAAGGTATTTTCTTTTGAATCAGTTATTCTGAAAAAACAAGTTTGTTGTTGAGAAGATTTCCCATGTTTTAACATAACGCTGGTCTTTACTTTGTCAGCAAAAACAAAGAGAGAGTCCCTACGAAAGATCCCAGTTGATTGAAGTGTGAGGGGGAAGGGGGGTCACCTCAGCTGGGTAATTTAACCAAAAATGGTCTTCATAAGCATTAGCCAGTCAATTCCTGAGGTATTTTTCCCCTTGACATGCATATGAATTGAACTGTTTGCTTCATACAGTAGTGGTGGAAATATAGGCCATATGTGCCAGGATTTGGCTGCTGCATAATGAGGCATTCCTTTGATGAGACATTTGAATGCAGATGGAGAAGAAGGGACATTTGCTCTCACCACATGGTTTGCATGCTTTCTGTGGAGAGACTGGCTTCACTCTGGAGGCTGCTGCTGTTCCTCAGCAACAAGTCAGCTGATGATCAAAGCCTTCTTTCGAGGGACATGGGGATATATGAGCAAGATTGCTTGCCACACATGAACACTCAAATCCTGATAGGCGACAAATTAGCGCTGTCTACTGGTGTTGATGACTTGTCTAAACATGAAACAGATTCAAAGCAGAATCAGAGAAACAAAAGTAATCGTTGACAAGCAGGTTGGGATTTTGGATGGGATGAAGCTTCTGTGACTCAATAGGAGACATGTGATTCAGAAATGAAAATGGCTGTGCTGCCATTGATTTTATCAGAGGGATATTGAGTTTGTCAAGTGTTAAACCTGCCATCTGTTGAGTGCAGAAAGAACTGGCTGTGTTCCTGATCACGTTATGCATCCCCTGTGTACGAATTGTCCCACTTCAACCAGCTCTGCTATGAGAAAATCCTTTTGAATATATATGTTTAGAAGCTCTGATTGCATCGTTTGGTTGACACCACTTTTACCCCTCAGTCAGCCTTTTGTTTGTTTTGCGTAGTTTTTCTCAATGAAAGTGGGAAACAACAGTTTCAGGTATGAGTTAATTATATTCCACTATTATGCTTCATTATCGATTGATGAACAATTGCAAGCATCACAAATTTGCTAATTACAGAATACTGAAGTGAGACCTCTACCAATAGTCCACGTGGCAGAGATACAAATCTGCAAGCAAAATGAACATTCAACACTGTTGGAGGGATTAAAATTTATAGAACCTATGTTAAGTGTGGTCTTCTCGGCTTTGCATTCATTTTGTGCTTCTACATTTAACACGTTATCATACATTTCTAAGAAGCAGTAAACAATTGCATCATGTAATAAATGCAAATACATGGACTGTAATAATGTCTTTAACATGGGAGCTTGTTTTAAGAACAGTTATGCAAAACTGTTTTTTTTGGAATGAATTTGTGCTATGTGCTATGAAGTATGATTTGAAATATTGTGTCTAAAACGATCACAACACGCTGAAAGAACATCTGAGTGATACATGAATTCAAGGGAAGAGCGGGGTGTAATTATAATTAGAGCTATGATGCACTGATGACGGTTAGAGATATTTAAAGTCTTCATTTGTGATTCTTTTTTTTCCTGCCACGTGTTCTTCATTAGTTTGTCTCAGCTGTGAAGATTGTGCTAATATTGACACTGGTTTAACAAATTGATCATTAAATTATTTGTTTGCAAATTGGAACCAGTTCAAAAGGGAAATAGTTCTTCCTCAGCCCTTTGTTATCCTCTCCCCAATTTTTATCGGGCTAGTTGTTGTTCTGTTACCTGTAAAAAACAAAAAAACAAACACAGAGGCATATTATAAGAGCACAGTATTGCTGTTGACATGTCTCTCACCTTTACTGCTTTTAATATTCTATAAGCATTGTATTTTTATGATTTAAAAACTATTCCATGATTAAACCATACAGAAATGTGTATTTCCTTTCCATACTCCGTTCTGGGTGTTGATTGGCTCTCAGTGTATGACATTGCAGTGCCATTCACAAAGTATTCACACACATCTTTTTATAATTGAATATCTGGTAGGTTCCAGCCTCATGCTTTAACAATCCCAAATCATGTTTTGCCCCATATCAATCTACAATCAGTACCACATATTCTCATGGAAGTCTAAAAATGTTGGCCCATTCATTTAAAAAGAAATACCAGAAATATCACACTGATGTCAATTGGCACATACGAGGTTGAAGCACCTTTGACAGCGATTACAGCCTTCAGTCTTCTTGGTAAGATTACGCCGGGTTGGAGGATTTTCTGCCATTCATGTCTGCAGATCTTCTGTAGCTCTGGCAGGTTTACTGGTAGACTGAGAGGGGGAAATGCAGCAGGAGAACTGTCCTGGATTCTCATGATGGATAAAACATTTTAAACTGCCCATTATGGTGGCCCAAGGTGCGAGAAAAACCGTGACGAAGTGGCCTTTAGGGTGCCCTCTCCTGCAGGAAAACATGATATAATGTCTATGTAACTGGGGTCATTGTCCTAATGGAAGGTAAACCTTTAACCTTTTTGTAAAGGTCCTGAGTGATCTCAATCAGGTTTTTTTATTTATTAAGGACATCCCTGTGTTTTAACCAGTTCAGCTTTCCTTTTTACCTTCATAAACCCTAAAAATACCCCCACAGCATGATCCTGCCTCAAACCGGGCTTCACCTTTGGGATGGTTTTCTGCAGGTGGTGAGTGGTTACTGCGGTTTCATCCATACATTATGTTATTGTGGTCATACAGTTCAATCTTGGTTTCATCAGACCACAGATTCTTGTTTCAAAGCACCTGAGAGTCTTTTGAGGTTTTCATTTTTGCAGACTTCAATGCATATACAGCCACGGTGAAGCAAAGACACGATAAGAGTGGGATTTCAAAGGAGATGGTCCTTGTTGAATTTTCTTGGTCAATTATGTTCACTTTCAGTAATGAGGCACTCCTCCTTTGTGATTGAAGTGATTATCCAGCTGTAGGAGTCCTGTTTACTTTACTTTTAGAACATATGGAATCCACTGTACTCCATGTACCACTGTACAGCATGAGCTTCAAAGGCATACAAAAGTGCATTAGGATAATGGGAGGTCTGGGGTCCACCCCGGGGGCAGAGTATATGTCATTTCCTGCATTGTGATGTATTCTATACATCTATGGATACATGTTTTGTCAGTATGTCTGGCTGAAGCTTGAGACACATTTGATAATTTCTTATCTAAATGAAGGTGTTTCCCCGTCGGGTCACATATTTAAATGATTTAACAGCTAAATGTACTAATTGGATGATTAATTTAAAGAATGTCTTTATGCTTGCAGACAATTAAATTTTCTCTTGATATTGTCAAATCAATGAGTTAAGTGAAGAATACTGAAGTCAAAGCAATTGTCATCATTTTCAATTATCTTCCAATTTTGAGTACTTCTAGAAAAATCCCCAGGACCCAAGGCCTCTGTCTCAAAGCTGTACTAAGCCAGTTGTATAAGTGGCTTTGACGCTGCTACCAAGAAGCTCTCCACATGAATACTGAGTGCAGGAGAAAGGTGATGTCTTTGAAATCAACAACAGAGGTTTTTGGAATAAAACGTTTCTTTTTCCAGATAATGCAAGTTTAGATTTAGAAAAACCCACTCAACATAACAAACATAGTTTCTACCATTACTTATAATTTTCACCTAAACAATGATTAGCAGCTAAACCTATCTTTGCTTACCTGTTCATTCATCTGTAGAGAAGAAGAGAATATCCGCTAACAAAATCATGCTATGCAGAAAAACAGAGGCAGTAAATCTGAATGACTATCCTCCCTTATTTCCTGTAATTTTTTTATTTGTTCCGATCAACTGACAAAACATTTCACTCCTTACAGTTTGATTCTCATCAGTGATAGTGCAGTGTGATCCGCTTTTCAGATAAAATAGTATGCCATGTGTAGCCTCGTTGCATGCATGTCTCTCCCTTTTTTTTCTTTCTCTCTTTGTTGCCATGGAGATGGTATGGGTTATTTTTTTGTGATTTACAGTTGTAGTTGCCAGCTGAATCAGACATCTCTTAACTCTGATCACTATTGACATCGGTGTCCATTTCCTGCCTGCCAGGTCCATTTGTCTGGAGCTGGACCTTTCTCTCTTACTTTCTCTCTCTCCCTTCCAGGTCTCTTTCTCCCTCTGATCACTCAGATAGATGGGCTGGTATCTGCTCTCATAGACACCCCTTTTTCCTGCCTTTTCCACACCTTTCGACTCTTGTTCTCTTCCCTCTTCCTTTCCTCTTCCTCTCCCCTCCTCTCCTCTCCTCTCCTCTCCTCTCCTCTCCTCTCCTCTCCTCTCCTCTGATTTTGTCACACCGTTTCCCCTTTCTTATTTGCTATATTCTCTCCCTCTATCATTTGTCCTCCCTCCACTTCTTTTCACATCCAACCTTTTATTCTCCCCACATTCCTCTCCCCGTCTCTCCTTCTAACCTTCCTCGTTTGTTTTCCTCCCTTCTCTCCTCTCTCATTCATACTTTCCATTTCTTCTCTCATGCATAATTTCCTCCTTTTTCCCCCCTTATCTCCCCTCCTTCCATCCTTTTTCCTATCTCTTCTCCTCTTCGCATCCATCCATTCCTCCCCTCCTCTCCTTTTATCAAGTATCCATCCTTCTCCACTCTCTCTTTTCATCCCTTCACTCTCATTCTCCTTTTACCATCCTCCCTTCTCTCTCTCCCCTCCTTCACATCCTTTTCCCTCCCTTCTCTAATCTGATTTCTCTAACTTCTCTCCTCTCCTTTCACCCTCTCCTTCTGCTTCTTACC